GGCGGGAGGGAGGCTGGGGTGGGGGCGCGCGGTCCTGCGCCTGCTCCGCACCCCCCCAATCCTGCGGGCAGGTGTGACATCACACCTCGGAGAGCTCCCCCGACGCGGGGCCGGCCTTGTTCGGCGGAGGTGGGGGCAGGGGATGGACGAGGTCCTGGCTCTCCCCTCCAAGGTACACAGCCATGGCCCTTTTGGCGACCCGCACCCTCCCACCCCCGGCGGGGGTCAAGTGGGTTTGCACCCAGAGGCAGACGCTTCTAGTTAGGGCCTGTCACTGTTTCCCAGTAGTCCTGCGGGGCGTGTGGACTGCTTGGGAAAACTGGGCTGAGGGGTTGGTCCTGAGAGCTGGCCGGAACCCAGAGGTGGGATTGTGTGGAATGGGGTGGGGGTCTGAACAGGCTCCGGGCCAAGGATGGGTGTCTGGGAGGCAGGCCAGCAACGACACTGTGTGTGTGCGCCCACTTTCCAGGAGTGTCCCTCTGGGTGATTGAGCGAGGGTGGCTGAAGCGTCAGCGTTGAGGGGATTGGGCCTTTGTCTTTAGAAGGAAGAGTGTTGTAGATTAGGCCCCAATGAATGAATGAAAGGATGCTGTGACTTCCCTTTCCCGAGGCCCCAAATTGGGGAGGGCTCCTCTAGGTAAAGAGAAGGGCTTTCCAGGTTCTTGGTAGCACCCCTTCTTTTGAACTTGGGTCTTGACGGCCATGGACTGTTGAATTCAGTGAAAACTGGCCTATCTGGGAGAAAGGCACGTGGGCCAGGCCCAGGAATGTGGGACCCAGGAAGGTTAGTCCTTCCGCTGCAACCCTGTGGACTGGTCTGACCTGGTCTCCTCTCGGCCTTCTTGGGTAGGTCTGGTTTTTGGTTTTGATGACTCCGCCTTGCCCCACCCTACCTGGTGGACTGGGGAGGCTCCCTGTGCGAGAAGGGGGAGGGTTTGAACTCCAAACAGTCTCTGCTGACTGTAAACACTTGGGGGGTAGGGGCCTGGGGACTCTGCTCCCTCCTCGGCCTCCCTCTGCCTGGGCCTGTCTGCCAGTCATGAGTTGCTGAGTGTGCCCTGCCCTGCCCTTCCCATCACGTGCAAGTAAGGGGTCATTTGTGGTGGGAGAAGTGGTCTGGACTTCCCCTTCCCTCTCAGGCAACGCCTGCTCTTTCCACATCTGCAGGGGCTGCCTACTTTCCAGCACTTCTGAGCGGGCTGCTGTGACCCCCTCCCCCAGCCTTTTCTGCTCTTGGCCTCCAGAATGCCTTCAGAGATTCTGCTTTGCCTGGCCACCTGTGGGTTCCTTGTGGCTGTCGGTCATTCATTCAGCAAATCTTAATTGAGCTCCTTCTATGTGCCCGCACGGAGGAACATCAGTGAAGGACAGGATATTCCTGCCCCAGAATTCCTTGAGTTCGGGCTGTCGTTGCCTGTTCCTGAAGCTCTGAGTTTGCCCCCAGCCCTTTATCTGTACCCCGCTCCTGGCCTGCCTCCAGTCACCAGGTACATCTCTTCCTCTCCTAGAACCTGATACTTTCAGAGGGAGCCTGACCCAAAAGCAGGTCTCTGGAAGTTACTGAGAACCAGGTATCTGGAAGTTACTGAGAACTGGTCTAGGGTTTTTTTTGGTTGCCCCGGGCCCCTGAGGACGGGTGCTGCCTGCTCCAGTGTGCCCAGTCTCCCTCCCTGCTTCCCCTTTTTTTCTTGTGACAAAAGTCCTGTCGATTCTTTCTTCATCGGGTCTTCCACAGGCCGTTGGTTGCTCCTTTTCCGTAATCTCTCTTCCTCCCTCCTGGCAGGCACCCTGCCTCTGGTGCTTTGTTCCTGGAACTGCCTCCTGATCGCAGGCTTTTCTGTCCTCTGCTCGGTCTGGGACCTTGTAGGGCTTGTCTCCAGAGCTAGCACTCAGGGCCTGGCCTTTGTGGACACCTGCTGCTGCCCAGGCCAGGCTGCTTTTCCCCTCGTGCTCAGCCCTGTTTTCTTCCCTTTGTTCATCTTGTTGCCTCCCCACCTCCAGCCACACGCTCTTCTGCCACCTCCTGGAGAAGAGCCCCGCTCACTTTCCACGTCTGGCAGTGTCCTGCTCCTGGGATGCTGACTTCCCAGTAATCGGCTTCTCACTCAGTGCCACACATCTCCTGTGCTCTCCACTTGAGGAACGGGCCATGGCGCTGGCCATGTGCACGCATGTGATGCAGCCTGATGGGGTGCTGGGCCTGCAGTAGGAGCCCCCAAAATGCACTGCGACCAGGAGAGTTCCGGAAAAGCTTCATGAAGACCAGTCCTGAGCCACGGCTCAGGATAGTGCCGAATTGCCCAGGCGTGGTGGTGTTGGGTGCCTTTGGGACCGAGTGGCAGAGGCAGTATAGGTCCCTCTGCTCCCACCCCTCCTCTTTCCTCTTTCTGGTAGCTCCCAGCCTGGTGCCATGTTGGTGGATGTCTCCGTTCATGTCGTCTGCAGTCCTTTTTGCTCACTCATACTTCTACCCAACGTCATTTTCTCTATGGAGCCCTTCCCCAGACACCTCCCCCCCACCGGCCTCCCCACTCTCCTAGAACATGCGTGGAGGTGCCATGTGTGTCCTCACCAGGCTTGGAGCCCTGGGAAGCTAGAGCTCCTTGGACCTCCTCACTGCTCAGTGATGAGCATAGAGAGTAGACCTTTTTTGTGACCCAAACAGATGAATAAAACGTGCAGAAAAATGGTTGGGATTGTCCTGGTCTTTTCCACCTCTGAGCCATGTTAAGCTCTGCTCAGGCAGTGCGGTGAGACCCTGGGAGACCCTGCGGGCCCCCCTGTAGCTCTGTTCTGTGCAAAAGTTGCTCTAGACTTTGAGGCCAGGAGAAGGGAACTTTGAAGACAGTAGCACCCCCTACCGAGCAAGAGGGAGGAGGAACAGCATCAGAGGAGACAGGCCACCCCAGAGTTTCCCCCCACTCCCATTACTGGAGGCGCTCAAGGCCTCTGTGCATGCCAAGGGCTCATGGTCTGCCTGGGTGGTGGCTCCCTGTGCCCTGTCCTCTCCTTGGCTCGCCCTTTTTACTCTGGTTCTTTAAAGAGATTCTTCCCAAACTCCAGGGTTCGGGCCTGCTGTGTGGCTGAGAAAGCACTCGGCCTGTTGACAACAGATGCTAGCCCTCCTGGAGAGCTGGAAGCGGTGGGGAGTGCGGGACGCTGTGGCCTGAGCCAGGACTTGCCAGGCCAGCTTTCCCTGACCCTGTGGTCAGGCCCTGTGTGTAGTGAGAGGGTCTTCCAGCGTGTTTTCCCTGGCTGGAGCCCCAAGGCAGACAGGCTGAGTCTGGCCTGATACTGGGCTGCTGAGATGTAACCACCTTGTGCTTTGTCAGGCCATTTCGGACCTGAATGTCCATGACTCCAGGCAGTAAAAAGGTGTCCGGAATCTTCAGCAAGTCTTAAGTGGCACAGTTGCCCGTTTCTCGGTGTGACGGGGCTGCTGGACCTGTCGCAGCTCCACCTTGGAGGCTGTGGGCAGCTGCATGGAGGCTCCCTGGGAGGTGGGGCCTACCCCACCTTCACAGCAGAGCGGCTGCGCACATAGGCGACAGCCACAGGGGCCTCTGGTGAAGGAAAGAGCTATCTGGATTCCTTGTGTGCCCAGTGGGGGCTCTTGCCCCTGAGGGCCACCTCCCACCCCTGGCTAGGTGCCAAATTCATGTCCCCGTTGTGATAAGTTAGGGTGTCCCTCAGCCATGCCAGAGCTACTTCCAGGGACCTGACCCCAAGTATTCTGAGCTGACCTGGCTTCCCCGCTCTCCGCACAGCCCTGGGTGCCGCCTATGGCACAGCCAAGAGTGGCACCGGCATCGCAGCCATGTCCGTCATGCGGCCAGAACTGATCATGAAGTCCATCATCCCAGTGGTCATGGCTGGTATCATCGCCATCTACGGGCTGGTGGTGGCAGTCCTCATCGCTAATTCCCTGAATGATGGCATCAGCCTCTACAAGTGAGTGCTGGCTCCCTCCCCGCCTGTGCTGCCCTGTCTGGGGTCAGGCCATCGCATGGGGTCAGGAGGGCCAGGGCGGGGGCGTGGGGCGGGTGGTTTCCCCAGCAGGCTGCTAACACTTCTCCCGTGTCCTCTCCCCCAGGAGTTTCCTGCAGCTGGGTGCTGGCCTGAGCGTGGGGCTGAGTGGGCTGGCGGCTGGCTTTGCCATCGGCATCGTGGGGGACGCTGGCGTGCGCGGCACGGCCCAGCAGCCCCGGCTCTTTGTGGGTATGATCCTGATCCTCATCTTCGCCGAGGTGCTCGGCCTCTACGGTCTCATCGTTGCCCTGATCCTCTCCACAAAGTAGCCCCTCTCCGAGCGCACCAGCCACAGAATAGGATGTAAAGACCATTCCCGCATTCCAAGATGAACAGCCTGACACACACGCACGGGGCAGCTGCCCCCCCAGTAGTTGGTCTTGTAAATGCGCAGTGTCCTAGTGCCCATCGTCTGTTCCCCCTGGCCTTGCCCCCGCCTGCCCCGTGCCGTGGACATCTGGGCCCACTCATTACCCATCCAGGCCCCCGACCAGTGAGGACGCAGGCCTCTGCCGCCCCCACTCATCCGCCCTAGAGTGCTCTGTGTATAAGGATGAATTAGAGTTGTCATTTTCTCTTCACTGGATGTTTATTATTTATAAAGATTTGACCTGTTCATACGTCTGTGGAGCAGCCCTCCGTCTCCCAACTATATAGTAATCTTAGGTAGTGTTGCGTTGTGGGGTTACCGTCTGTTCTGAGACTCGTTGGATGGAACCACCCTTCCCCAGCCCCGGCTGCCGGGGCCGCGGGGCCAGAGCGCTGGGCCTGCCAGGCCCGGAGCCGAGCCATGTCCAATAAAGTTCTCGGTTGTGACTGGACGCCTGTGTGGACCGCTTGTGTGGGCCCCCGGGCTGGTGGGGGGAGGGAGGGATGGAGGCGGGACCGGAGACGAAGGGCGCCCGTCACGTGGGTGTGTTGGTCACGTGACCAGTCTGAGTCAGCTGAGGGTCACGTGGGTGGAGGCCGGGCTCCGCGGCCTGCAGTCGGCCGGGTGCGCGGGGAGCGGGTTCCGCTGCGGGGCCCCGGGCGCCGCCCGCTCGGGTGGCTCACGATGCGCGGCGGGCAGGACGAGGCGCGGGCCCCGGTGCTCCAGTTCACCAACTGCCGCATCCTGCGAGGCCGGTCGCTGCTCAGGTGGGGCCCAGGGCCCGGGAGCTTCTCGGGCGCGGGGCGGGGCGCTGCTTGGGTGAGGCCCAGGGCCGGTAGGGCTCGGGACCGGGAGCTGCTCAGAAGTGGGGTGCGGAATCGGGAGCTGCTTGGGCGCGGGGCCGGCCGCTGCTGAGGTGACGGCCAGGGCCGGTGGGGCTCGGGACCCGGAGCTCTTGGGCGCGCGGCCGGGCGCTGCTAGGGTGCGGGGCTCAGGGCTGGTCCGTGTTCGCGTGGGCCGCAGGGTGCGTGCCGGGTAGGAGATCTTAGTCCTCTCCCCGCCTGGCTCTGGCCACAGGGAGGATTTGTGGGTGCGCGAAGGCCGCATTCTGGACCCCGAGAAACTGTTCTTTGAAGAGCGGCGAGTGGCGGATGAGCAGCGGGACTGCGGGGGCTGCATCCTAGCGCCCGGCTTCATCGACGTGCAGATCAACGGTGCGGCCTGGGGCTCCGGGGTGGGTGGCGACCCAGAGGAAGTGGTCTGGGCGCTGTGCGACCTTCCTCTGTGTGGCCGTAGGTGGATTTGGCGTTGACTTCTCTCAGGCCTCGGAGGACGTGGGCTCGGGGGTCGCCCTGGTGGCCCGGAGGATCTTGTCGCACGGAGTCACCTCCTTCTGCCCCACCTTGGTCACCTCACCACCCGAGGTTTATCATAAGGTGAGGTCCGGCTCCCAGTCTGGAGGAACGGGGCCTCCGGAAGCAGCCCCGCCATGTTTTTCAAATGCGTGCTCCCACAGACCCCTCTTAGCCTGGCGTTTGGCCTCACCTGCTGGCCTCCTTCCACGGGGGGCCAGCGTCCCGCCCCTAGGCTTTCTCATTCGGTCGTTCCCCCACCGGCAGAGTGTCCCTGTCTCTGCAGCTGTCCCCTAGGCCTTCACTTGTGCTGCCCCGGTGTCCTCCCCAGCCACATGTCCTTTCCACGCTGCCCTCTGGCTGCCTCTGGGCTCCAGAAACCCATTGCTGGGACTTCTGATTGCCGCACCTGTAGCTGCTGGTCAGGTTTATCCCCTCCCCCCGCAACCTGTCTGTGCTCTGTGACTCCAATTGAATGTGCTTTCCAGAAAGAAGCTTCACTGTCTGCCCAGCTACACTAGTCCATCCTCTCTGCTGCTCTCATCTACCCCGACACCCCTCGCTCCTTTCACTTTGCCCGTTCCCATGAAACTGTGTTCATTTCCGTGCGGGTTCTCTGGTTTTATTCTTTACCTTATTTTATTGTCGAGTGTTCTCTCTGCGGTCGCGAATGTTCCTTCTTCCCGAGCTCTTGGAGACCAGAGTGTGTTCCTTGTGCCTCTGGACTGCTTGAAGCTTAACGAGTTTTGAAAAGCGTGGCTGTTCCGTTACTGGAGTTGAGTTTAGGGAGGGGGCAGTTCCGCTGTGATCCCTCCTGTTCGTTCCAGTGTGGTGGTTTTCTCCAGAACCGGCTCCTTACTGTGATGATGGGTCACATTGCCCGTCGTGGGGTCCCTCCTGGATGTGTGGGCCCAGAGTCCTAGCTGGGTGTTGGGGGAGGTCGGATGTGGGCTTTGGGCCTCTTAAATTCATCTGTCAGCTGGGGACACGAGACAGCCTTTACTTTTTTCTGATTCTGTTTCTTCGAGTCTAAGTTGAGAATGACGGCCGTGTCTGTGTGTTGGGGTTAGGGCACTCAGCACTGTGTGTGGTCTGTAGTAAGCCGTTGGTACACTGGCAGCTGTGGATATCTTTCTGGAAGTTTCCCTAGGCCTCCCATCCCAGAGTCAGAAGTTACAGACTAAGCTCCGTGTGCTGCTGGAAACCAGCAGGTGGTTCCTCGTTTTCTCTCCTGGTCATCAGTCTGCGCTTTCCTCGGCTTGGAGCTGAGGAAGGTGCCCACCTTATTGCCTCTGTGTTCTTTGTCCTCCCCCTTCCTGGGCCTCACCAGTGAGGCTCAGTGACAGTTCCCTACTCTCCCAACTGCTGTCCCTGCTCCAGGTCCTGCCACAGAGGCCTTCAGGAGGTGCAGGACTCAGCTCACTCCCCCTGTCCCCTCCCCATTTGTGCTCAGTGTGAACCCCAGCCTTCTGAGCATTCCCTCCCTACCTGCCCGGGCCTCTGTCTTTTCCCTAGGCACATTCCAGACATTCTAGGCAGTTCTTTCTCCTGTCTCCAAGCCCTCTGCCTGGAAGGCCTTTGTCGTGTTCTGTGTGTTGCTGCTTCTTTGGCTCTACTTTCTGGTCACACACCAGCCACGCTTTCCACAGCACATCTGACCCTTGCCACACAGATGATGAGGTGGTCTTCTACAGGACAAGGGGCTTCTGGACATGGGGACTTCTAGCTTATGTTGTCTTGCTAGAACGTGTCACCCACCATAAACGTTTGCAGGTTGAAGGCCTTAGCAGAAACTAGAATTTTGATGGGCATGAATGTAAAAATTTGATTCCAATATCGTCTTAGAAACTACAGGACTGTTCCCTGGGATAACCTCCCACCCCCCAATAGCTCACACTGGGCAGAACTGGATTGCTCCTTTGTCAGAAGTTACCCAGATCTTTTGTCATTGTGTTCTGGTCCCCTGAGACCATGTGGTCCTTTTCTGGGGTCTCCTCTAGCTTTATGCTTTGATACTCTTCCAGGAGGAAGATCTGTTTGTGTCCTTCTCGGCTTCAAGTCCATCATATGCTTCACCAAGATCTAGTACCTTCTTGTTGGCAGGCAGACCTTTGCCTCTGGCCCCACACACCCTCTATCCTTTGACCTTTCCCTCTGCTTTCCTGTCTGGAACATGCCTTATTTTCTCTACCTCTACCCTGTCGTTTATGCTGTTCTCCCCACTTAGCGTACCCTAGTTTTCCTTGTGAGACTTTGTTTTGTTTTGAAAGGTGAAGTAAATCCTGAGTGTCTTGTTAGGATTTCGAGTTCTGAATCTGAGACTTGGGGGTTAGGGGGGTGGAGGTGGCGCCCGTGAGCCCAGGTGGGGAGAGCAGCCAGCAACGGGCACAGCATTGCGCAGGTCCCCTCTTCCTGTGTGTCATTCCCGGGGGAGACTCTCTGCAAAACCCCCTAGAATGTCCCACACAGTGTCCCCCTGCAAAGACAGGCTTCACCCACAATCCCATCCTCCCCTTGGGTTGAAGTTACTCCCCTCACCCCTCCTCTCACAAGAACCTTGTGTCTGGTGCTGAGCTCCCTCGGAGGACTTAGGAGAAGAGGACAGAACCTGACACTCATCACAACACAGTCTCCCGGTGGAATGTGGATGACAGGCTTCGTGCTGTCCCATATAGAGATGGGCAGGTTGAAAGCGGGGGGTCTAGAGGACGTGTCCCAGAACTGCCCAGCCTCTGACGTGCAGGCCCACCTGTTCCAGGGGGGAAGAGATCTGTTCTGGAAAAACTCAACCGTTACCTTCTTTTTTTTTTTTTTTTTTTTTTAATTTTATTTATTTATTTGACAGAGATCACAAGCAGGCAGAGAGGCAGGCAGAGAGAGAGGGGGAAGCAGGCTCCCCGCTGAGCAGAGAGCTGGATGTGGGGCTCGATCCCAAGACCCTGAGATCATGACCTGAGCCAAAGGCAGAGGCTTTAACCCACTGAGCCACCCAGGCGCCCCTACCTTCTTTTTTCTAATCTTCAGTGAACTTAGACCTATCCGTGGCTGGTTAGGAGAGCTAGCAGCCTTTGCCCCCACGGACTCCCATCTAGAGACCGTCCCTTTCAGCTCGGGATGCTTGGAATTTGCTCTCCTGTCTCTAAGTCCATGCTGGGACTCCTGCTTCACTTCTCTGTTTAGGGCTGCCTAAACAGGCCTAAACAGTTAGGCCTTCTCTGTGTCTGCTGCCCAGCCGAGGAGCAGAAGAAGCCCCCATCCTCCCTACACAGCTGCCCGCTGCCTTGGGGAGGTCCGTCTGCAGGACTAGGTGGGGCCTACTCCGCACGTCCCATTTTCTTACCTGGCTGCTCTCCTTTCCTTGGAAGTCCTGCTCTTTGTTCCCTTAACTCGTGACTCAACTCCGGGCTTCCTGCCAGGAGCTCACTCTTCTTTCAGGACATCTGGACACGCCACGTGTCCATCAGTGTTGCCTTCCTGCAGCAGCCTCCGGGACCTGTTTCCCAGCACTGGCTGCTGGCCTCCCTGGGCCGAGCTGTGCCGGCAGCTCCCTTACTGTCACCTGAGGGGCTCCCCGAGCGTCTTTCCGCTGGGCGTCCATCCCCCATCCTGGGTCGTCTTCTTTGCTGGTTTTTGCCTTCTCTCTGGAGCACATCTCCCTGCTTCCTCTGGAGGAAGAGATCATGGGAGGTCGAGTTTTCGAGATCTTGAAGGACTGAGAATGTTTTTACTCTTTCTTTTTTAAGTTTGATTTATTTTATTTTTTAAAGATTTTATTTATTTACTTGACAGAGAGAGAGATTACAAGTAGGCAGAGAGGCAGGCAGAGAGAGGGGGGCGGAAGCAGGCTCCCTGCTGAGCAGAGAGCCCGATGCGGGGCTCGATCCCAGGATCCTGGGATCATGACCTGAGCTGAAGGCAGAGGCTTTAACCCATTGAGCCACCCAGGGTGTCCCGAGTTTGATTTATTTTAGAGAGAGCGCCCACGACGGAGGGAGAGGGAAACAATTCCAGGCAGACTCTCTGGTGAGCGTGGAGCCTGACACGGGGCTCGATCTCACGCCCTCAACACCAGGACTTGAGCCGAAATCAAGAATCAGACGCTCAACCGAAGGGGCCCCCCAGGTCCCCCTGTTTTTACTGTCTTGATTGGGGAACAATTCTGTGTTAGAAGTGACTTTGCCCTAGAATTTTAAAAGCATTGCTACATTGTTTTCTAACTGCCAAGGTGGCTCTTGAGAAGCCAGAAGCCGCCCGACCTCTGATACTTGGTGTGTGACCGATTTCTTCGTCTGGAGGCTTATGGAACCTTCCCTTTGGCCCTGGGTTCTGAAGCCTGAGGGGGACACGGGCGGAGCCCGGAGGGAGGTCATCCGTGGTGCTGGCCTGCAGCACGGCCTGGCTGTCTCAATCTGGTTTTCGGTTTTGTTTGCTTGTCTTGAATAACTTCCGTGTGACTTTCTGCCCCGTTTCTCTGTCGTCTCCTCCTGGGCGCCATCATTCCCCTGCTGGGCCTCCTGGATGGGTTCTCTCGTTCTTCCCCTGACTCTGCTTTCGGGCTGTTTGTTCCCTTGTTCTCCTGCCGTCCTTCTCTTGGGTTCGGTTACCGGCTGTTTGAGGTCAGGTTCTAGCAGGCTGCTGGGAGTCTCAGGCCTGCAGAGGCTCCACGGAGGCCCCCTTCGTCGAGGTCCCTGGTCAGCGGGGACAGGCCTCGCTGGCTCCATGCTGACCGTGTTAAGAGCATGAACTTGCACTTAACTGCAGGGTGTGTGCACCTCGATCCACCTCCCGTCTGGACACCTTCCGGTTTGCTCCAGCTGCTTGCCGGGCACGTTTGGGACACAGCTGCTCTTTGATGGCGTGTCTGTTGTGGTCCCCCCGCTCCTCAAGGTGCCAGGCGTGGCCAGGACTAAGGCAGTGGGGCCGCAGCATGGCTTCTGTGTGCAGGGTGTGTCCCCCGTGTGCACCTGCCCGCCTCTGCCTGGCATCCGTTCCTTGGCCTCCCTGGACGGCTCTGCTCATCTCCCATCTTGCAGGTCACGCGAGGTTTCAGCCTCCTCCGAGTCAGTCCCTTTATCCTGCCCGGGATAGGGGAGCTCCGGAGGTGGGCGTGTTTATCCGGGACTCTGCTGTCCTGCAGGGCTCCCTGTCCGCTTCCTTCTCCACATTCCTTCGTGAGAGAGGTGTGGGCTGCGAGGCCTGGCTGCTTGTCTGGTCCTGAGATGGATCATGTGAGCACCTGTTACACACGAGGGACCTTCCTGATGGCATTCAGCTGGGACGCGGCTTGTCCGAGCCTCCAGCCCCATCCGCACCGAGCTCCCCTGCCGGCGAGCCCCTGCTTCTGCGTGGAGCGCACGCACTCTTCCTGCTTCCAGCCATGCTTCTGGTTCTGCAGCTCAGGAAGGCCAGGCCTGTCACCCTGTCCGGGTCCGGACCCTTTGAGCATGCCACCCACTGTGTCCCAGCTGCTGCCTGGTCGGGGGCCGCCTGGAGGGGCCAGGACCGTGGGGTGGCCCTCTGTCCATGTGCCTGCCCTCTGCACAGGAGCTCCTTCCTCCTCTCCCGGTCGTCACAGGCAGCTGCTCTTGTGTCCTCCATGACTCCTCCCTGTCTGGACGGTTCTGAGTGCTGTGCTTTCCCTGACCACGGTTGGGGACCTTTGACTATCTTCTAATACCTGAGGGAAGGCCACTGGGGGCTGATCTCTGACCTTGGCTGGGATGTGACCTCTGGGCGCTGGGCCATAGGGGGCAGGGCTTTAACAGCTGGTTCCCCCCAGGTCCTTCCTCAGATCCCCGTGAAGAGTGGTGGTCCCCATGGGGCAGGGGTCCTCGGTGAGTGGCTGACCCTCTCCCTGCCCCCACCCGGGGAGGCTCCTCGGGGACCTGTTGGCAGCCCCTCCCCCTCCAGAGGCCCAACTGGGGAGGGAGGTCGGGCAGGTGACGGGCTGGGGTGGGGGCTGTGCGGCAGGAGGCATGCTGGAGCCATCCGCCCCCCCCTCCTCCCAGGGGTGCACCTGGAGGGCCCGTTCATCAGCCGGGAGAAGCGAGGTGCACACCCTGAAGCCCACCTGCGCTCCTTCGAGGCCAATGCCTTCCACGACGTGCTGACCACCTATGGGGCCCTGGACAACGTCCGCATCGTGACTCTGGCCCCCGAGCTGGGCCGTAGCCGAGAGGTGATACGGGCCCTGGTGGCCCGGGGCATCTGTGTGTCCCTAGGTGAGGCGGGCCGCCTCCAGGCGTGTGTGCACATGGGGGGTCCTGGGCTGGGTATGTTGTTTGAGTCCTGGTCCCCCATGCAGGACACTCGGTGGCCGACCTGCAGGCCGCGGAGGAAGCCGTGCAGTGTGGGGCCACCTTCATCACCCACCTCTTCAACGCCATGCTGCCTGTGAGTCGTCCCCCAGGTGGGGGGGGCGGGTACAAGGGCTCCTGCCCTCGCTCAGCTCACGACTCCAATCCCTGCCCAGTTCCACCACCGTGACCCGGGAATTGTGGGGCTCCTGACCAGTGACCGGCTGCCACCAGGCCGCCACATCTTCTATGGGATGATAGCTGATGGCACGCATACCAACCCCGCGGCCCTGCGCATCGCCCACCGGGCCCTTCCCCAGGGTGCGTGACAGGGCGGGCTGGGGGCGGCGGGGAGTGCGCTGTGGGGCAGGTCTGAAGCCCCTTCCTCCCACAGGGTTGGTGCTGGTCACTGACGCCGTTCCTGCCCTGGGCTTGGGTGATGGCCGGCACACGCTGGGGCAGCAGGAGGTGGAAGTAGATGGACTGACAGCCTACGTGGCAGGTGAGCGACTTGCTTGTCCCTGCCGGCTGCCCCCACGAGAACAGGCCCTCGGCCTCTCGTGGGATGTGGGCGTGCCCTGCCAGCCCACTGCCCACCCCCCACTGCGTGTCTGGTGGTCTCTGGTCCCACAGAGCCTGCACTCTCTGTTCTCAAGGCACCAAGACACTGAGTGGCAGTATAGCTCCGATGGACGTGTGTGTCCGGCATTTCCTACAGGCCACAGGTCAGTGAGGCTGGTGTGGGGTAGGGGGTGTGTGTGCGTATGTATGGGTGGATGTGTGCGTGCATGGAGGGTGGAAGCTACATTTGGGGGAGGTGGGAGGGAAGCACGGAGACCACCGGAGCCTCACATCCACAGCCCTCGTCTGGCAGAGTTTCCTAGAGGATGAGCACTGGGAACGTGTCTGAGGTCCCCCTGCAGGGAGCTCCTGGGCAGGGTAAGACAGTGGCAGGCAGATGGCTGGGACCCAGGGTGACGGCACTGAAGCCGTGGCACCCAACGGGAGAATGGAGCTCAGTTTACCCACAGCTTGGGCCTTGGTCTTAGACCCTCTGGGTTCGCAGGCCTTCATGGGTCCACAGCTAGGGAGATGAAGTGTGAGAGGGTCAGAGCTGTGCTCTGGGCTTCTTAAGGGGGTGGGCCTGTTGCGGGGAAGGTGGGCAGGGGTGTCTGGTAGAGACTGTGGTTGGCCAGGCCCTGAGGGATGCTTGGTAGTGCCGTGGGGCTGGGGTTGCATCTGGGGTGTCAGAGCTTGACATGCTGTTTCGAGCAGGGAGACAGGCCGGTAGCTGGGGGGATGATGGGGGGGGCAGGAAGAGTGGGGTTTAGTCATATGGCCTCTTGAGGGGTAGCAGGGATAGAAAGGCAAGACTACGTGACTTCATCGATGCGCAGGCTGCTCCTTCTTTGTGGGGGTGCCCTTCTGGGACCCCAAAGGAGTGGGGGGGGCCTGCGGGCCTTTGGGTCCAGAGCATCTGTTCAGGGGGAGGGGAGGCCGGATGGCCCGGGATGGGTGAGCAAGCGAGCAGGAGAAGAGTCCCCAGCAGCGCCCTTAGACTGGGGTGCGATGGAGCCTCGTCACCCTGCTGCAGAACCCTGGCAGAACCCAGTTCCTAGGCCTTGGAGCTTCGGGGCTGTGGGCTGGGGGAGGGGCTGTGGGAGGGGCTGCCGGCAGAGCTGGGGCAGGCGTGGTCACCCAGTTGTGTCCCCTGAGCAGGCTGCAGCGTGGAGTTGGCCCTGGAGGCTGCGTCCCTGCACCCCGCTCAGCTGCTGGGGCTGGAGAAGCGCAAGGGGACCCTGGACTTCGGGGCTGACGCAGGTCAGGGCCTGGTGTGGGCTCCCGGGCCTCTGAGGACTTGGGAGCTCCCGCAGTACTCGGGATGGTGCAGTACAGGGCAGGTGGGGGCTTCCCTGTGTCCAGGTGGCCTTGCCCACCACCACCTCCAGCCTGGGCCCCTTTTCCCATTAGGCCAGGCTTCCTGGCGAATGAGACGAGGCCTGGTGGGGGCTGCCTGGGCCTTTGTCCCGTGTACCCCACCGCCAGGAACGCTGGCTCCCGGACCTTGGGCAGCCTGCGAGGGGTTGGGGTGCCCTACCCAAATCGTGTTGCCAGCTTCGGTTTCCCCACCAGCTCCTGGGTGGCTGTGGAGATGGGAACAGAGCTTCTCTCAGGGGTAATGAAGCTCCTGGGAGCTGGGTGGGGATGGGGGTGCCTGCGCGTTCCCCTCCCCACCCCCACCGCCTCCTCACCACCCGCCTCTGACCCAGACTTCGTGGTGCTCGATGACTCTCTCCACGTGCGGGCCACCTACATCTCGGGCGAGTTGGTGTGGCAGGCGGAGGAGGCCAGGCAGTGACCGAGGACCACCGCCGGAAAGGACGCCCAGCCTTAGGCGGCCGCTGTCAGGGCCGAGCCGTGGAGGAGCAGGTCTCCAGGGAGCGAGTGGGCGCCCTGCCCCAGGTGGAGGCCTCCGCTCAGGAGGCAGCTGGATAAACACGCGCCCGGCAGGGACTTATCTGGTCTCCGAGTGTTGCTTCCAAGCAGGGCGCCGTCACCTTGGTGGCTCTCTGGGTGGGGGTGTTTGTGCCTCAGGGTTGGGAGTGGGAGTGGCTGGATTCTGGCTCATCCCAGCTCTGTGGGGGCCCCTCTCTGTGACGCAGATGTGTCCGGGGCCTGAACACCCACAGGCAGAGGTGCTGCCTGGACGTGAGTGGAGGGTGAGAGGGGAAGCCCTTGGCTCTAGTTGAAAAGCGGGACAGGAAGGGGCTTGGGGACAGCGAGCGCACACAGCTTCAGAAGTTCACGTGTCGGGACCGAGGGAAGGGCTAATTCCTAGGATTTCAAACAAGGAGAGAACTGGTTGTGGAGCTGAGTTAGTAGTCTGGGCTGGGAGGAGCTGGGTGTGGGGGGGCTTTGGGTGGGCAGTGTGGAGGGCTCAGAAGGCTGCTGCGTGACAAAGTTCCAAGGACTCACTCTGCACCCGTGAGTTGGGCGGCAAAGTCGGGGCCCGGGGCCATAGTGCCGGGTGTGGGCACAGTGCCAGGGGCTCCTCCCAGCCTTCAGGAGGAATCCGTGCCAGCTTCAGGACCCCACTTTGCCTGGCAGTAAGTGCAGGAAGCAGTGGCCCAGGCCCCCGAGCCCGTGCCGGCTGCTGCTCCTTGCCCAGCCCGCAGCCCTACCTCTTTGAGCCCTAGCAGTAATCAGGGCTTCACTTCTTTTGGCGTTTTTTCTGAACAGCCCATTCTGACTCAACTTCTGGGTTGACATGAAAGACCTGTTTGCACCGTGGTGGTTGCACAGCTTGGGGGGACCCTGCCTGGTGCTGATGGGCAGGTTGGGCGTCAGCAGTGTCCCGAGCCCTGCACTTGTTTGCCCGTTAGTGTCATCCCACAGCTTTCCATGTCCCTTCGGTCCTGGCAGTGGTGCCCCCACGTTGGGAGCGTGGGCTGTCGCATAGCTTTGGGGAGCCATGCAGGTCCTGAGGACAGCCGTGACATGGCACTCAGAGGGCAGGGGTTGGTGTAGCCCCAGATCAGGGTTGACTTTTTCCCCCATTGTCTGCTGGGGTGGGCAGCCCCTTCCCTCTTTCTCATGGCTGCAGTCCTTGGAATAGGAAGTTGAAGGCGAGTGTCCCAGGACACTGTGATATGTGGCTTGGCCACCATTCCCCTCCTCTGCCCCAGAGCCCTCTACAGGAAGTGTGTCCGGGTCCAAAGTGACAAAAATGGCCACAGATCCCAGTTGTGTTTGAGGCTGAGCAGCTTGGGAAGAACCATCGCCATGAGGCAAGGGTCAGGAGATGCCTGTGGGGTGCAGGGACATCTTAGGCCTAGCAGGTGACGGACAGCTCCTGTAAGGCAACTGCCTGCTCCCAGGACCCAGGGGCAGTGCCGCACCGGACTACTGGGGCTGCCCTGGTTGGAGGGAGCAGATGAGGGTCTCCAAAAACACATCCAAAGCTGAGCGGTGGCACTTGCCTTGTTTGGGGCTAGGCCTGACTCTACATGCACTAGCAGCGTGACCCCATTCTTTTGTGCCAGAAATCTAAAGGAGTTTCCGGTGTGTCATCCCCATTCTCAGATGGGCAAGGGGGCCCCCGATTGCAGAGCTAGTGAGCTTCAGAGCTCGGGTTTGTCCTGGCCACTCTACCCTGGGGCCCTCCCTTACGGGCTGCCTCCCTGGGTGGAAGAGGTGGGAAGGACTGGTTGAATGCGGGGTCGCAGAGGTGAGGCACCATGCTGGTTGGGAAGAGCGCTCCAGGCAGGGAGAAACTACCCCACTCAGTTCCAATGGCACAGGCTTGGTGTCGTGGTGGGGACCTCCGGTCACCCTCCTGGGGAAGGGGTGCAGCCTTCTCCACCACTTACCTGACTTTGCTGCTCCTAAGAGCAGCTCTGTTCCCACTAAGTTCCACCCCTGTCCCAGCTCCCCCACCCTGCCAGCCCCCATTCCACTTCTGAGTCTGAGGCTGCGGGGTTTCAAACAGAAGGTGTGCTGCCATTCTAAGTTAGACCCCGGGCAAGGAGACTCGGGGGGGTAGGGCTGCAGCGGGGCAGGCGGGGAGCGGGGTCTGGAGACAGGTGAAGCGGAGGGCCAGGCTGCTCTGGTGTGGGTGGACACTGGGCTGCCAGGGCTGTGCCTGAGTTACTGGTGGGCGGGGGTGACGTCCACTGAGGTGGGATCCTCGGGGAAGTGACCTGGCGTGCAGCCCGCACCTTCGCGGCTTGCTATGTGCTGTCCGTGAGCCGGGGGACCCTGTGCAGGGGCCGGCGCGTCGCGGCTCCCCGGAGTGGGGCGAGGGCCCCCTGGTGGCCGTGCCTGGGAGTCACGGAGGCGTCCCCTGCAGGCCACCACCCCCCCCGCCCCGAGTGCGCCAAGTGCCAGGGTTCGAGGCCAGGCGCTGAGGCGTCCCTTTCGAAGCCTCGGGCTCCTTATCGGGTTGACGCGCCCCGTAGGCTCCGGGCGCAGCGTTCGGGCGCTGATTCGTGCAGAGGATCTTGGTGGTCCAGACCGGAGAAGCCGGCTTGGGGAGGCGGGTGGAGGGGGGAGACAGTATCTACCGCGGTGCGCTGGGCGCGGTGAATCCGGCCCGAGTCTCCCCATTGCGGGGCGGGCCTGCGGCCCAGGCGCCGGGTCCAAGCGGACCCGCAGGTCGGGTAAGAGCTGCGGCGCGGGGATGCGGTTTGCTGCTGGGGGCGGGCCCCTGCCGGGGCCAATCAGGAAGGCCGTGCGCGCGGACGCGCCGCTGCGGAGCAGCTGGAGCGCGCGTCCGCCCCGACCCAGTTCGGGATTGGGGGACCCGCCGGGAGCCGGGAGTCCTGGGCCGCGGGGCCGGGCGGGCACAGGGGAGCCGGGGGCCTGGCGTCCCCGCTTGCTGCGACGCCACTGCACCCCGGTCCGCCCGGCTGCCTCTGTGCGCTCCTTCCGGCCCTCCGCTCCCCTCCCTTCTTCCCATCGCGGGCCTCTGCATCCCTTGCGCCCCAAGCCTCCTTTCCCCGCCCCGCCCTCGTTGGCGTTGGGGAGTTGGGTGTGGGGCTGCCCGCCGGCCCCCTTACACTGCCTCTCCTGGCCTCGCCCCAGCTCGGAGCGTATCCGGTGTCGGGGTGCGGGAGGTACAGCAGGGGGTGTGGCACCGGGAAGGTAGGCAGAGGGCGGCTTCCTCCCTTCGCCTCCTGTCGTCCCCAGGCAGCGCCAGGGTGGGCGGCAGCCTCGTGCCCAGGGCGATGGCCATCTCCGGGTCTTGCCTGCCTCCCACTCCCCCACCATGAAGAGCTTGGTGTGGTCCTTCACTGTGATCCGACACACCTTGTCCTACGTTTATGTCTTGATTTGTGTCATCACGTGGAATTGTACTTTGCGATACTGCTCTGCTGGTAACTACTTTTTAGTTAAGCAGCCTGAAACGGAAAGCTGCCTGGGCGGGGACACGGGGAAATGTCTCTACTTGAACAAGGTCCCCGGTGTTCCGTAGGATGGATGGTTCATAACGTTAACCAGATCCCATAGAGGACCAGTTGGGTTCCTACCCACCCCTCCCCCCACCAACCACCCACGCTGCCCCCAGGAGAAGGGACCATGGAGTGATGGGCAGGGAGCCCTAGGGCCCCAGATGCTCCAGCGGGTCTAGAAGGCAGGAGGGGACCCGGTGTGGGCACTCCTTTAGGCTCTTTGGGTTCTGGGTTTCTGGGGATCACAAGAGGGCCTCCCGCATTCGTTTTCTGGTGTTCCTGTAACAAATTACTACAAATTAGGGGTTCAAAAGAACACATTTATAGCTTTGGAGGTGGGAGTTAGAAATAGGTTTCAGGGTGCTGAAATCAAAGGGGTGGCAGAACCTTGTTCCCCTGGAGGTTCTTGGGGGGGAGGCGGTGGAGAATCTTCCGTTCCCAGCTCCCAGATGCTGCCCACACTGGTTGTCTCAAGGCCTCCTGTTTTCGAAGCTCATGCTGGCTAGTCGTGCAGTTTGTGTTGCCTCATTCAGGCTCTGACTCTTTCTTTCTCTTCTATCTTTTAAGGACCCTTGTGCTTACAGTGGGGCCGAGCTGGATGATCCTGGATAATCGGCCTCTCTCTGTTCAGGTCAGCTTATGGGCAGCCGTCATCCTCGCTTTCTATGGGATGTAGCATATTCCCAGGTTGGGTGAACAGGGTGTGGTCATTTCTGGCGGGGCTGATGGTCTCCCTACCACCTCTTCCAGACAGAGGGGCCTGGGCCACGGCTCCCTACTGCCTGGGTGGAAAGGAGATACTATATTCCTATCATCAGTGTATGAAGGGGCTCGTTTCTCTACATGCTTGTCCACACTGGATGTTTTCAGTCTTTGGGATTTTGATCAGTTTCTGGAGTTGGGCTGGGGAGGTTAAGATTTAGGGAAGGAGGTTTACTCGCCTGAGATTTGACGCCTGAGATTTGACGCCAGTTTCTGAAGACAGCTGTCTGGAAGACAGCCCCCAGCGATCCCACCTCTGGGTGTCCACACCCGGGCTGTTCCTCCCCGCCCCGTGGTGCCGGGTGCTCTTGTGCGATTGGGAGAATGGGCTAGAAGCAGTGCTGGGGCCGTTCAGAAACTAGGGTATAAAAGTCATTGCAGGGGGCCCCTGGCTGACTCAGTTTGTAGAGTATGTGCCTCTTGATCTCAGGGTCATGAGTTCAAGTGCCACGTGGGTCGTAAAGCCTCTTTTAAAAAAATAGTAAGAAAAAGAAAAACTAAAACTGAAAACTTACAATAAAAGTCATTGCAGGTCCTTTGTCAGGTGTGCTGTTTTGCTCTGGAATCGTTCGCTCCAGGGAAAGCTGGCTGCTGTGGCATGAGGGTACTCAGAAAGCTGTGGAG